ATGCCCTATCATCTAATGAGTCGCTGTACCTGTTACAAGTTAGCCTCACCTTGGCTTGTTCCCTTTGGTACTAATACCTAGAGAGTGTAGTGTAGCTCCATGGGACTAGAGCAGAATTCTTGTCTGCAAAATTTTCACCAGCCTTCAGCACCTGCAGCATCCAGGAAAATAGTGCTACAAGCAGCGGGTTTCTTTTCAGGCCAGTGTTCTCTGGGAAAGTAAACCAATCATATTAAAAAAAAATAATAAAATCCAATACAGGATAAAATATGGAAAGCTTTTGTTTAAAGAGCCTTCTTTACCCATTGCTGGCAAGCAGATCTTGGTAACTTCAGTATCTGCTAGGAAAAAATGTGCTTACCCTTTGTGCTATCTATAATAAGGCAGTCGAGCAAAAATATTAACATTAGTTATTTTTACTTCTTGTGCAGCGGTTTGCCCATTCCCACATTCACAGGGTGCTAAGCAATAAGGTCTGGCCATAGGCTAGCCACAAAGTGGGGCATTGAGGAATTACTTGGCTGGTCTTGAAAGTTACAACCCCTGGGCAAAATATTTCTGCTTGTATGGAAATAGAGGTATTTAAAGAAATCTCAAGGGCTCCATGGAGGTACAGAGGTTATGCTACACATTGTAACTTACAGGCTCATGGCATACGGTATAAAACCATGGTTTGTTTTGGCTTCTAGGACATCTGCATTAACAGGAGTTATATTTTGGCACGCTTGTGCCAGCAGGACCCACATTACGCTCAACAGCGTTTGCTCACATGCGAAATCCCTGCCCCCGAGGTGTCAATCTGTCATCAGATCAATGACAGTCACTCTGAGCCCATGTGGCCGCTCTGCCACTTCTGTCCCCACGCCAGCGGGACTCCCCACAGCCCTGCCCCAAAGGATCGGGTCACAGGACGGGGGACTTCGGGGACAATGGGATCGCAGGGGAGAGGGAGAAGTTTCCAAAGCATACATGCTCTAATGGCCCTCTTGTTAGCTGAGTTGTTTGCCGTACTGCATGACAGCTGGTATCTCAGTCCAGTAATTGCACTGATGTAGTAGTGCCTCGCTGAGGTTCGGCAAGAGGGCAGCCACCCAAAAAGGCACCACACAGACATGTTTGATTAACCCTGATGTTCGGAGAGCAGACTGGTGATTTCCCAGCTATCAACTGCAGCACAGCCAGGATATTCCTGCAAGAGAAGACCTAATTATTAGTGGAAAAAATCTATGGGATGATGCAGAAAGAAAAAAAAAAAATACCCTCCTCTGTTACATCTCATGGTTTCTTTGTTCTTTTCTGGTCGAAGGTAGCTGTAATACAGTGCAGAAGGTTGGAGACCTTCAGCTGCATTAGCTTCTCAGCAAGGTTGAGTTACCCCCAGGGAACACCATATTATGAAATTGTAATGCACCCAGGACCAGGGCAGGGTTAACTCGGAGCTCCTCCTGGTTTTGGTGTGAAGTGATGCCCAGCACAGCTTGGTCTCTGGTGAGCAGTCCAGCCCTGGGCCATGCAGGACTCACCCTGGACAAACTTACCCAGGGAGGTACATTAGCTTATGCTGAGTTTGAAAGAGTTGGGTTGCTTCTGGGGCACCTGCTAGCTCTCTGGTGTCCCTGCACTGCACGGCAGCTTGAATGGTCCTTCAGGAGTTTGATCAGCCCTTTGGCAGAGGAACCGACTTCATGTCAGGCTGATGCATGACCATGCTGCCAGAGTCAGAAAACAACCCCATAATGAAAACCCTGACGGTGAGCTCCAATAATTTATGCCTCTGCAGACCAGCTCCTCCTGCTCACATACCAGATTTAACAAACCAGTAATTGCTGCCTGATTTTTAATTACTCTCGTTTACAAGAGCAATGGAACAAGTCAGTTCTACAAACACAGCTTTGATGCAAAAAATGTACCAGAGAGCTCAGAAGTTGGTCATCCTTTTATGTGTTGGTACTGAGTACCCTACTAAAGTACATTGATGTGACCTAAATATTTATACCACAGGTAGCAGTACTTGAGGTGGAGGGATTGAAAGCAAAAGAGATTTTTTGGTGCATTTTCACACCAATAATTGTTGAGCCAGCAGCTAACAGGGCAAAAATCTGTTTCTCGGGGATCTAAGCACAGCACAAAAAGCTGAGCTCAAATATCTTTCCTCTGCGCCGCCTGACAGTGTCCTGCCAACCCCAAACCTCTCATTCACGCCTCTTGCTGTCTGTCGTGGGAGCTTTTTTGCAGCAGTCCCAGGCCACGCTGCGAGCTGTGGGTCGGGAGCAGGGAGATGGACAGTAAAGCTGTCTGCAGCCCTGGCAGTACAGCCAGCTCGCAGAGTTTTAGCCTGGAGCCTACAGGAGGGGGAGCGTTTGCTACGACAGCTGCTCCGTCCCTGTTTTCACCAGGGCTTTCTTCCCTCCGAGGCACTGCTCAAGCCCTGCAGCCCCGGGATGCTCCTGCAGCATCTAACTGCATGGTGCTTTTTCTGGGCTTAGAGGAGGGCTTACTGAGCCCGAAACCGTCCTCCTCAGCCAAGCTTGCTGAAAACCTCCCCAAAGAGACAAGCTCCCTCGAGCAGATGGAGAGCTACCAGCAATGCGGGACTCCACGAAGTTGTTCCTTACCACTGCAACACAGTTCGTAGCTGCCGCTTTGTTTTTTCTGCTGCGGTTTGGACACCACCTCTTCTGGTTATGTTATTATGGGGGGCTTCAAAGAGGTTTCTCGTAAAGGAGGATTTTACCTGTAGGCTTTGGGAATGCATCTATAACGTGAACTCTCGTTCCTGATTTAAAAGATACACTGAGCGTCAGCCAAACCCCTATAGATAGCTACACACACATCCGTCTCTCTGTCAGAGCGTGCAACGATGGCATTTTCCAAAGGTGCTCGCTAGTAAGCAGGGAAGGGGTGCCTGGTCTAAGCATTTTCCCTTGTAAAAATGCCCACGTTGGTTCAGTTATGTTTAGCCACCACAAAGTTCCCAGCTCCTGTGAAAAGTCCAGCTCAGGGCTCTGCTGAAGTCACTGTGGTTATGACTCACGGGCTGAGGAGAAGTGCCAGGAAATCATGTGTATCCAGCAAAATGGCTTTCTGCATCTGGCCTACTGATTGCTAGGTGGGATTTTTTTGTGTTTAAGTAACAGCAGTTTCTGAACGGGAACTTCTGGAAATGGCTTCTTTCAGATCCACTTCAGAAGTAAGAAATCTGGGGGCGTTTATTTGACGGCTCAAACAGAAAGAAGAGAGCGTTGGCTGGGTCACGTCCTGCACCTCTGCGTGCGTGTGGGATTCCCTCCACTCGGCCTCCGTGCAGACGTCAGCCCCAGGCATAGCCCTGGCCGTCACGTGGGGCCTCCACTCTCTTCAGAGGAGATAAGGATGGACCGAGGACATTCCTCAGTGGCCAGCATAGAATCGTAGACTCATAGAATAACGTGGGTTAGAAGGGACCTTTAAAGATCATCTAGTCCAACCCCCCCTGCAACGAGCAGGGACATCTTCAACTAGACCAGGTTGCTCAGAGCCCCGTCCAGCCTGACCTTGAACGTTTCCAGACAGGGTAGCCTCTGCACAGGAGCAAATCCTCCATCGTGCAACGTACATGCGGCTTGCCTGGCCTTTTGGCAGCATGCCTGATGGTGCGTGCCTGATGATACACGCCTGGCAACTGCGCTTCCACGGCACGTCGAACTCCCATACTTCCAACTGGCCTGCAGAAATAGCATCTGAAGTGAGAAAGTGGTTTGGTTTTGACTCACAACTTCTACAGCAGATAAAACTCGACGTGACGATTACATTACTTGCCCTTAGGAGTCCGGGCAAAGCACCCCCGCAGCACATATAGACCTGTTTGCAGTTTTTAATTAATTTAATTTCCTCACATTACATCAGGACACTGACAAGATGAGGAAGATTTTCTTCCATCTTCGGTTGAGTCTTATTCCTCTTTAGAACCGATTTGCAGAATGAAACACATATTCAGAAATTTAAAATAGAATTTAGGTCGGTATTTAGGAAGACGGACATTTTGTGGTCCTAGGCTCCTTTGTACAGCTGGAAAGGAAATGTGGGCTCCACAGGGAGGACAGGATCCTCAAGCAGCTTAAAAAAACCCAGCACAAACCAGAAACAACTGTTTGTGAGAGCCAAGGATGCAGCACCCGGAGGAAGGAGCTGACACTGGCCTGAGGCGCAGCATGCAATGGGAGGGACGCTTTGCTCCAGAGTGAATGTTGAGACCCAGCCCAGCTACCTTCTGCTCCTTCCCCATGCTTCAATAAACTGTCACCTTATGGCAACTAAAACTGACTAAAAGCATTTAAAAATCTAAATTACAGAAGCTCTCTGAAGGATCTCTGGTCTCACTCCTTCTCTGGAGGTCTCCAAAATATCATTTTGATAAAAACAGAGGGAGAGCAGTTCCAAGTTTGAGAAACTGAAAAGCTGTTTCTTCTGAAAGATGCATTTAAAGTTGCCTATCCACACCACACGAAGTCAGAAAGCCTACCTAGTAAAATAGCTCTCTGCACCATCATCATAAAAAAGTAAATATTTACAGGCAGCCAAGGTGGTTTGCAGTTGGGGACAGTAGAAATCACTCCTTTGTACCACTGTGCACTTTCGATTTTAATATAACTAACACCCTGCAGAAAACTGGTATAGGTCCCCAAATGGATTCCTCATCCCAGAAAGCTGACATTTGAACTCTCATCATGCGAAGAGCCCTATTTTGAAAACTCAAGTGAAGAGACGGAAAAGATAAAAACTCTAGCCTGGGACACCTGTGAGCAGGGGGGACCCACCAGGCACCCTTGTCATCTCACAAAGGCGCTGCCACACAACATTCCACTCCATCATAATACTGGGGTGAGCCCTGCAGCCCACAGAGGCACCCATAGGACCATGGGCTACAGCTAAGGTCAACAGCTGCCACACACCATGTATTAAAGCTTTCAAATCCTGGAACAAAACACCAGCTTCGATTAAGCCCATTGGGATCACACATCATGCCAAAAAACAATGCAGGAGAGAAGCTACTTTGTGAGCTGGGCTACAGGCTGGGTCACACATTAGGGGAGGGCAGCTTCTCCAAGGTGAAAGCGGCCACCTCCAACAAATACAAGGGCCCCTTAGCCATCAAGGTGGTGGACCGGCGACGAGCACCCCCAGCCTTCGTGTACAAGTTTCTGCCGCGGGAGCTCTCCATCGTGCGCAAGATCCGGCACCCCAACATCGTGCGCATCTTTGAGCTCATCGAGGTCTGCAATGGGAAGCTCTACATCGTGATGGAAGCAGCAGCCACTGACCTGCTGCAGCTGGTGCAGCAGCTGGGGAAGCTGCCCTGCGTCCCCAAGGCCCGGGACATCTTCGCACAGGTCGTGGGGGCCGTTCGCTACCTGCATGACCGCAACTTGGTGCACCGGGATCTCAAGTGTGAGAATGTGCTGCTCACCGCTGACGGCCGCCGGGCCAAACTTACTGACTTTGGTTTTAGCAAGGAGGCCAACAGCTACCCGGACCTGAGCACCACGTTCTGCGGGTCGGCAGCCTACGCTTCCCCGGAGGTGCTGATGGGCATCCCCTACGACGCCAAGAAGTACGACATGTGGAGCCTGGGGGTGATGCTTTATGTGATGGTGACCGGCTACACGCCCTTTGACGACACCCACATCCGCAGCATGCCCCAGCAGCAGAAGAGAGGGGTGCTGTACCCGGAGGGGCTGCCCCCGCTGCCGGAGCCCTGCCAAGCCCTCATCACCCAACTGCTCCAGTTCAGCCCGGCCTCCAGGCCGGGTGTAGAGCAGGTGGCCAAGAACAGCTGGCTGAAGGGGGACATCTGAAGGAGCAAGCCCTTCCCAGAGATCCCGGGAGAGCGGTAACAGTTTAGTGCAATCAATGCTGTGGTAGAAAAGCATTTCTGTGTTTTATTGATCATTTTGACCCCTGGGGTGCCTGTATGTGGAGCTGATTGATCTTCAAGCACCGGCAAGGCTATGTGCTCTCAGAAGGTGGCCAGATCCCTCCACAAAGGAGACACGTGAGCCTGCTGCGGGTTGGGTTTCAAGACACAATGACCGTGCTGAGCTAGCAGCTCAGCTACATTAAGAGCAAAGTGTGGGGCTGCTTACACCAGCAGCAGCTGCCCAACCGCAGCGGGGACCTGCACCCCCCGCCAGGCAGGTCGGGGCTTTCCCATGGAGCCAGCGTGGCCAGGGCAGGGTGGTGAGGTGCAATGTGCACCAGCACAGTCCTTTATGTCGCCTGCTCCCTACTACACGTAACGAACACCAAAAACCCCGCCCAGATAGCCCTCTCTGCTGCTCCCCACCCTCTGTATCCACAGGGCACTGCCCAGGACTGCAGAAGGAAAGCTGCTCTCACGCGGGTCTTGGCTTGTCCTCAACCCTGTTTGCCACCAAACTGTATTTGAGCTGATGGGCGGGGAGAAGTAGCGGTCCTGCAAATCACTATTGCAGAGAAAATTTCACATCGTTTGGATACCACCATTTAGATCTCACAGTGATATTCACAGCCCAAATTCACAGCAGGAGCTTTGCAGGCAACTGGACAGCATTACCGAGCCAAAAGTTTTGGTGTGGGTTTGACATCCACGCCTTACATTCAACTACATGTCTCAGATATTGATTCGTACCAACATTTGAAATCTCTGCCAAAAGATATTTGATGAGAAGGAAATGCCACTAACCATGGAGAACCTGAAATGGGAAAGAGATAAAGACATAAAGGAGCACTGCTTTGCTAACACCTGCTGTCCAGCTTCAACATAGAAACTTACCAATTACTCTGAATGCAACCCCCCAAATCTACCACAGATCCCTACCGGCAAGTGCCATTTTCAAAGGGTTAAATAAAGGTAGGAGCTGGCATCTGAAATGTGCTTTCATGAGACATTTCAAATCCCCTTTAAACAATCTCCGATCTAGCTGCCACCGAAACTGAAGTCAAACAGAGATTTCCAGTTGGGTGGTCCGCCAGTCTTCGTGCTGCTGGTGCCACGTGTTCTAACACAACACAGCCCTGGCAGCAGCTCCCGCAGCCAGGCTACTTCTTACATGAGCAAACCAGTGCACATGGTTCTGCTGGAAGAGAAGGAAACATCTTTGGCAAAGCAAACATTTTGGGTCTATTAAAAGCAGCAGTTTAAGTAGAACAAGATGTGGCAGTAGAGCCAGCCCAAGGCTTTTCAGCACGCGGGCTACAATGAATTTTGCCACCCCTAGAATGAAGATTTATTTTGTTCTTCTCCCTGCAGCTGCAAAATAAAACTTCATAGCAGCAGCAGCAAAGTCCGAAGTAGACAGAGTAAGGGATAGGAAGGGTGTCTTGGGACCTTCTGTGGTTGGCAAAACAGGCTTAGGAAGGGTCAGGAGGATGCTGGGGATGGAAAAGGAGAGAAGTCGTAAGGATGTGGGAAGTGAAGAGGCGGATTTCAGGGTAGTGAGATTTTCAGCAAGGCTCAACTCTCCTTTTCCTACTCGCCTTCCAACCACCCCATCAGCCTCATCCCTCCCCAAAGCCACCACCGTCCTTTGGGAGAGCTGCCCAATCCACACCCCAGGATATCCAGGTACCTTCTCAGCCCCATCCCCTGCCTCACTCCAGCCCTTGCTTACCTCCAAGCACCTCCCCACAACCTGGGAAGCAGAAACCTGGTGCCAGACCTGGTGCTACTGTGTTGCCTCTCCTTTTGCTTTCTTTTAATTTTCTTTCATTAAAGACACAGCTAATATAAAATGAGTCATTCTGAAACCCAGACCCTATTAATCTCCCCTCAGCACCACATTCTCCTAAACAATTGCATCTGTTGAGGACATGAGTTGAGACAGATGACTAATATTTTGCAAGCATGTACCCCCTTGAGTGGCTTGGGAAAGCAGCCGGGGTTCAAGTGGTGAGTGATTTGAAGGAGCCACAGGAGGCTCGTAAGGCTGCCCGGCAGCCCTCGCCTTCTCCACGCAGATGGTAATCTCACAGGGCCCAGCAGTAACGATCTCAGAGCAGTCCCGACACTGTGAAAATAGTCCATTACAAGTCTAATTATGCAGATTAAAAATAAAAATCACAATTAGAGACTCAAACCAATTCTTCTCTAATTTACACCAATGGGGAATCAGTTCTGAAGGAGAGCAGAACCAGAGGGCTTGAGCAGGCTGGGGAGGAGGCTCCTCGGCCGTGCCCCGGCAGCGGGGCCGGGGCCACGCTCTGCGAGCATCCCTCCCCTCCTGGCTCTGCCTGTGCTAAGCCTGCTGCTTCCCTGGGCTTATATCCTCCTCAGGAGGGTAGAAAAGCTTTTTAGCCTTCCTGGGAGGTGCACAGTCGATGGAAGTGCCCTTTCCCTGACTTGTGGCAGATGAGCCCTGCTATCCCAGCCGTGAATCACAGCGCCCTGCATTTATGGGAGAGCCCTTGAACTTTGAATGAGCACCCGTGGGAGGCATAAACAGCCACACTGGGTTATCAATATCCCTATCAGTCCCACCGGTGTCGTTCTGCAATGTGACTCTCTCCTCTTCAGGCTGTTTGTAACGTACTGGAGCGGTACGATCTGGAAATGAAGGGTCCTGTCTAATACCAGCACCGAATAAATAACTTTCAATGGGGGAGCTGATCACCGTGCAAGATACACAATAAATATATTTTATTTAATCCTTCTTCAAGGACAAGACGGGAAATGTTCAGAGACTGTATAAGGCAGCTCTGTGATATGCCACTGTCTGGCTCCTGTTGGCTTTCTACATGGTCTGAGCGTTACCCCATCCACAGCCCTGTCATCCACTGCCGTCATGCCCTATGTCACCCGACAGACTCACTGGAAAGTCCTCCAGATTTTTAGACCCATGTCTTGAAATCAGTTAGAGGGACTCTCAAAAGGGTACTCAGCAGAATAGAGTGTTTAGCATTTTCTCAAGATATTTTCTAAGCATCTTGAAGCAATTTTACCCCATTGAATCCGAGAAGAGCTTTAATAATTTCAAAGACGTCTTCCAGACTTTTAGCATAACGTTCCTCCCACTGGTCTTTTGTCCAAATTCAGCATCACATTGCCTGCAATACAGTCTTTATTTCGGGCAAATGAAAGGAAGAGAGAAAATTCACTGCACGTTGACATTAAAGCTCCCTTTTCAGCTAAGCAAAATTTGCTTTCAAGATTTTAGGTCAGAGCCGATGTGTCTGATAAGCTTTAGGACTCAGCTATTTAAAAGTCTACTTGTTACAAAACTCTGGAGATAAGTATATTCATGAATTGTGGGAAAACACTGCTGGGTAATCAAACACCTCATGTATTCCTGCATTAACTCTCGAGCTGGCTCTCTCAGGGCTGTACATTTCTGCCTACAGCAAAGCTGGGCTGCCCAGCCTGCAGCTAACGACCTGCTTCAATTACCCTTGGCCGAGCCAGCGCGGGCAGGTTGGGTGAGAGACATACCAGAGTGCCCCTGCCTCATTGGGAAGGCAAAGCTTTCAACAGGCAATTTAGCAAATAAATATACCTCACTCTGCTTGAATACATTAACCTTTCCATAAATGCAGTCTTTAGTGCTAGCAGCCTTTTATCCAGCTACCTAGCGTCCTCCTCTCTCTTTTCAGACCCCACGCTGTACCAAGTTACGGGTTGCCATGCTGTTCTGTGCATCTTAACCCTTCTTCAGTTCAAGATCTCCTCCTCTTCTCTTTTCACAGTCCACTGCTCTGCAGGTCTCTACACTTACTTGGCTGTTGGAAGAGATAGGGAGGGAGAAAGGGGGCAAACATTTTCCCGTTTTAAGCCATTTGATTATATTAAACGTAATTTTAAAAAAAAAGCTAACAAGAGGTTCTCACCAAAGGACAGGATTTGGAGGCACATAATTTTCCTTGAAGACAGGAAGCTTTCTGTGAGTAATATTTTCATTTTCACAGCACCTAGCAAACTTCAATCCTCGCACTAGCACCAAGTGGTAAATATTATTCTCCCCGTGCTATAGTGAGCAGACTAAGTGGCTTACCTCAAGCCAAGAGGATTTCATTTTACATTACAGTTCAAAACTTCCTGGGCCTCCAGTCTTCTGGTCAGATCATGACTTCGTCTTGAAATGATAATAAATTCAACAATATCTGATAGCCTGGAAAGGCATGTGAATTGCCTCTTCCAAAACTGCTTCCAAATCAATCTCATTTTATCTCATGAATGAATGAAAGGAAATATACTACAAAAGCAGGTGGCTAGAGCTTCTTTTCCATGCTCTGAATATGGGATCCAAATTTCTTAAATGCATTTAACACCCCTTTTCAACAATCCACGGGATGTATCGTGAGCCCAGGTTGCCCAGAGAGGTGGTGCCATCTCCATCCTTGGAGATTTTTAAGGGCTGACCAGACAAAGTCCCAGGCAGCCTGGTCTTATCTCAGAGCTGACCCTGCCTTGAGCAGGATGTTAGACTGGAGACCTCCGAGGTCCCCTCCCACCCGCGTTCCTTCTCATGTTATTATCAGCCACAGCAGCAACCATCAGATTCCTTGAAGGTCATAAGTGGTGTTTCTTTCTCTCAGTTGGCAGATGTTCAGTATATTCAGGTAGCACCTAAATGTCACAGGAGCCCTATTAGGAGAGGTCCTGTGTACTGATGTTATTGATCATCCCTGCTGCAGAAGATCTCACCTCTTAAATGAGAGGCACCTTGGCCACAGGAGGGGACCTTCTCTTGGACCATGCAATCTGTTGGCAGCCTCACAAAGAACAAACGGTAGGACACCATGGTGATTTGTTTGCCTCACATATTACCTAGCATCAGAGAAGCACTTCTGGGCAGCACAGCTCACAGGGTGTTTTACAAGACAA